AGAAAAATCCTTCACATTGAATAAAATAAATAATTGATTAATTAGTGTGTGTGTGTGGATTGGATTGGAAATTTCAGGATAAGATTTTTTTTTCTTCATCAAGTTAGTTGGAAAGAGTAAGAGAGAGGGGAAAAAGAACTGATGAAATTTTCATCAGTGATGATGTTAGTGGTGGACTGGAAAGACTTTTATTTTCATATTTGCTAAAAATAATCTTTAATTTTTTGTTGTTGGAATACGTGATATTTTCTCTTTAAAAAAAAATCGTTACTCGTTGCTAATCACCTGCACATATCATTTTCTTTCTCTATGTTTTTTTTTCTTATTAAATATGACCATTTCGACCTATCCGTAAATGAATGAATGTTGAATTTTTTTGTTCGCGTAATTCGTAACGAATCATTTAAAATTCACGTGAATTCATTTATTTTTGCTGTTGTTGCTGTTGTCATATCATCATTCATCTTTGATGATGACAGATTTATACATCGAAGAAACACCAAGAGAGAGAGAGAGAGAGAGAGAGAGAGAATGGAAAGAATCAAACGAAAATTTACTTCAAAAATAAAAGATGCTTAAAGAATGCTGATTTTTGCTGTTTTGTCAAAACACACACACACACACAGACAAACAAATCGATGTTTTGTAAAATTGAAAAAAAATAATGCTATTTTGAAAATAATTTTCGATAATAAACACTCACCAAACACACAGAAAGACACAATAAAAAACTATTATTATTTTGATTATGATTTTTTCACATTCCGAAGAAGAAGAGAAAAAAACATAATAATAATAATAAAATAAATTTGGCGCGCCAAAAAACACCAACCGACGACAAACAAATAAACATTTAATGTGTTTGTCGGGAGAGAGAGAGAATATTCTTCTCCAACAACCGATAGTCGTGTTGCACATTGCACATTGGCCCGAAAGGAAACATAGAAAACTACTGACAAGACTTTTTATTTGATGATGAACAAAACGAATCAAATGAACAAATGCGGACAGTAAAGAAAACTTTATATTTTGATTCTTGTTGACTATCCGCACACACATAGTTTTTGTTGTTAAATGAATTATATGGAGCGATAAATATGTGTGTGTAATATTCTTGTATTCTAGCTGCTGCTACTACCCATCGAAAATGAAAGAAAAAATTCTTCATTTCTGTTTTCCCTCATTGTCGGTATATCTATCTCTGGCATTGTGTGTGTTATACAAGTTGTATAGGAAGGGCTATATATAGAGGGGGAAGGAAAAAACATTACTTTTTTTGGAAACTTTTTCGGAAACTTTATTCTGTTCTCCTCACTATCCCCATCTCTCTTTTTCCCTCTCTATATCTATTTGTATAGATATCAATCTAAACCAAAACTACCAGAACGAACAACCAGAACAACAAGTAAAAAAGTCAATGATTCTGGAATTGACGTTCCATGAAAAGTACCAGAACTGAAAAAAAGTGTTTGTAACAAAAAAAAAAAGTTTTTTTTTCAAACATGATACAGAATGATGATGATGATAACATTCAATTATTATTATATGATGAACTGAATTGAATTTTTGAAATATTTTCATTCATTCATTTTTGACAATGGACAATCATCATCATCGTCGTTGTTGAAATGCTTTTGCTATATGAATATGATTCGAAAACAAGCAAAATTTGTAATCAATATTGATGATTTAACGAAACAAAAAAGGCGAATTTCCAAACCTAATCCCAAAAAATCTCTATTTCTCATTTAAGCAAATGGATAAGATTCATTTGGCTTTTCATTCATTCATCCATCAAAAGCGAATTTGTTGAAAGAAAACAAATTCTAAATGATGATAACAAAACAACGAAACGAAAAAAACCATTAAATTCTTGTCTTCATTTCATTTCATTTTGATAAGAAAAGGTGTGTCAATTTCATTATGGTTTTTAATAATAATGATTATGATTATGATTTATAATGTTTCTCTTCATATCATTCATTCATTCACACCGATTTCAATTCAATTCATTCAATTTGTACCGAAATAACAATTTATTATTTAACACTTTGTTATCAGTCAAAAAATGAAAATGTATTTATTAAACAAAAGAGAAAAAATTCTTTTGGTTTTGTTTACAGCAAAATTTTCGTCTTATCCTTTTCCATCGTTGTCCACTATATATAAATAATGTTTGTTTGTTTTTCATTTCATTTTTGGCTGATTAATCAACTTTTCGATTTTTTCGATTTGTTTGTTTGTTTGTCGCTTGTTATAACGATGAATAACCAGCCATTTTCATTTCCATTTTCTTTATTCTGCGGATATTTGTTTGTCAAACAAACAAACAGAGAGAAAAGGCAAATGACAAATGTTTGTTTGACATAATATCTCGATTTCCATATTCGATATTCGATTCGAAATATTCATTTTTCATATCCAATGATGGAAGAAGGTATCACCAAAAACAACAACAACAACAACCAAAGAAATTAACATCAAACAACAACAACAACAAAAAAAAAAATCAGTTGATTACAGAATTGATTAGGTTTGTCATTTTTGTTTCTACCCATAGCCATCCCGTTTTATAATATCATCATTATACGAAAAATTCGGAATGGAATGTGTGAAAAAGAAGTGAACAAACGAAAAGCAAAATGGAAAAACAAAAATGGAAAAATGTTGAATTAGTTCCCTTTCAATTCCATTTCAGGTTTAATTGTTGATTCTGTTTCTCGAATGATGACAACAAAACATTCATTTTTTTCATAAACAAGGGCGGAATATTTATTGTTTTGCCAATTTGGGTGATTATTATTTACCAATGATGAAAATGGAATGAAACAAAAGAAGATTCTTCAATTCAATTCGATTCGATATTCGACGACTAAATTCTGTATTCTGTTTCATTCGATCGCTTATTTATTGTCCTTTTTTTCCCTCACCATTTCATTTCTTTCCTCATCGGTATTTGTCATTTATTTAGTAAACGAAGAAATATTGACAACACATGCTCGTCGTGTCATTTCGCCATTCGTTTGTTCGTTTGATTATTAGATTCGTCTTGGCAACCATACGAAAAGAAGTTTGCATGGCGGTTGTAATGATGATGAAAAACCAATTGGAAAATCAAAACAAAAAACTGAAAGCTGAAACTGAAACCCGTAACAGTAGCAACCAAAGAATTATTATTGGAATGAAAATGTTAACCGAAGAAAACCTTAAAATAATTTGTTTCTGATCAACCAAACGATTCTCTTCTTTGTTTGTAATCTTTTTCTGTTTGTCTTAATCAAAATTTTTTAATTCGATATGAATGTTTTTGACATCAGATATTAATCTCTTTTTCTCTATGTGTGTGTGTGGACAAGAAATGCTTGATTCTGAAGAAATGTTTGACGCAATTCAATCGTTGATTAATAACAAATTATCATGGAAAAAAATATTTTAAAACATTTTTCAATTCTCGAATCAACGAAAACATCTTTATATTTACTCATAGGAATTATTATTATCATTACAAATTTACAATTGAAACAAATCGATGCAAGAATTATTGAAGGTGAAATTCGTACCAATGAGGTTAGTTTATTGATTTTGAATTTTCCATTGAAAAAATCAATCGAAAAATGACCAAAAAATCAATTATTTTTTTTTTGTATTTTCGTTTTTCAGGATTGGGTGTTTATAGCACGTTTCTGTTTTCTTTCAAAAGAAGGTGTTTTTGAATATAATGTTACTTATCCAAAAGTAAATTGATTTTTCTGAATTTCAAAAGGGCAAAAATCTTATTTCTTTTTTTTCTTTAGAGTTTTGCACCACAAAATCTTTTACTTTATTTTGATGCCAAATCACAATGGCCGGCTGTTTATAAACAAAATAAGGTTTGTTGTTATGATAAGACTTTTGAACTTTTTTTTTATTCTATTGATTTTCGATTTTTTTTCTCCGGTATTGATAGACATGTGAAGAAAAACGTAACGTTTTAATCGATGATTTTAATCAAATCATTAATCTAACTGAATATAGACGTGAATATAAAGCAACAACTGCTTCAGGCTGTAGAATTGATCGTTTTAATAATGATTTAAATGAAACATGGTATCGTTGTGTACAGAAAAGGTTAGTTGATATTGTCAAATCTTCAATTGAAAGAATTTCTTTATCTTTATCTTTCTTCTTTTACAAAAAAATACCTTTCATGTCACAATGTTTGCGATAAACCAACGACAACAAACATATAGAACATTTCAATCATATCGTGAACGTTGGTGGTACATAGCATTAGATAATTGTGGTACAAAAAAAGGACTTTATCTTAAATATCGTATAACAATGACCAATAGCCAATCAAATACATGGTTAAAACATTTTTCAGCCGATGAATTCTGTAAATAACTAAATATATTTCCATCCCCAAATCTGATTCTTGATTGAAAAAAATTATCGATCACTTAACCCCCCTTTATATTTGTGATTAATCATGATTTTCTTCTTTCTATACCCACACACATACATAGATATATTACATACGGATGTTATTATGTGCATACTTTTCTATTTACTTTTATTTGCAACTTGTTTCGAAGCTTGTAAGTTTATTTTCAATCAAGTAAAACCTACAACAAATCAAATCAAATCGAATTGAATTGAAAAAAAAGTTAATCGATTATTTTACTTACTTACTTTTCTTCTCTCTTCTCTTCTTGATCGATCACCCTATACATTACCACTTTATAATGTCTAATAGATGCATTGTACACTCGACATTTATTCCATAAAACATATAAACTTTATATTGCTTCTTTATTATCAGGTAAATTTGCCATTTACTATTTGATTTTAAACATTCAATTCGTTTTATTGATTTCATTTTCCATTTTCCCATTCCTTACTCCCAACCAAAAACAGAATGTCTAGGATTATTATTCTTATGCATATATTATGGAATATTTGCTCAACAAGGAAATGCTAACATTGCATTAAAATTATTTGGAAAAGCATTCGAAGCAGCTAGTACATTAATATTTTTATTATTATTATTACTTATATCAAAAGGTTATACAATAACCCGTGCAAGAATGAAATCTCGAACGGTTGCAAAATTTAGTATGTTTATGGTTATGTCATCGATTGCATATGCTATAATTTTCTATCATGAACAATATGTAAATTATTTTATTTAAATTTTTTGTTAAAAAAAATTTTAATTTTCAAATTTTGTTTTGTTTTTTCACACCATCAAAGTTATTCGATCCAGGAGAAGTACTTTATATGTATGAAAGTTCATTTGGTTATCTATTAATTTCGTTACGATTAATGGCATGGTCATGGTTTTCATATGCAATTGTATTTACATTAATACATTATCCACAAAAATCAGCATTTTTTGCTAAATTATTTCTTGTTTATAGTATCTGGTAAATAAGGAAGAAATCATTTTTTATTTACAAAAAAAAAAATTACTAAAAAATAATCATTTTTTTACAAAACAAAACAAAAAACAAAAAAAAACTTTAGGTTCATTTCGGCACCGATCGTAATTCTTGTTGCAACATTCGTTATACCAAAATGGATGCGTGAAAAAATTATCAATGCTGTTGAATTAGCCATTGCATTCAAAGCTCATCTGATATTTTTTGTAAGTTAACCAAAACCAACAACGATGAAAAAAAAAGTCCAGTTTTTTTTCAAAAAAAAAAGTTTTCATTTTTTAAATCCTTTTTCATTTCTCCAAACAACCAAACAAACACACCTGAAAAAAACAACAACAGTACCTGACTCGTCCTTCGCGTGCAAATAAAAACTTTCCATTCCATGTAAGTTATTATTAATCAGCCAGCCAGCCAGGTAGCCAAACTAAACCAAACTAAAATCATTGATGCTTACCTAATGATTTCGGTGGAATTCATTAATTGATTTTGCTTTTGTTTTGTTTTTACAGGTGCGTACAACACAAATATCTATTATGGAAAAAACAGGCAATATTGAAAGCGGTACATTAGAACATTTTAATAATTATAAATATGCACCAACTCGTTCAACACCGATCGATGTTTTTGCTATTACATCGGCTGCATTTGCTAGTTTAGGTAATGGTGTTGTTGTTGGTGGAACAGGAGGATCAAATAATTCAATAATTGCCAAAGGAATTAATAATAATCGATCGAATAATCATAATAATCGTATTACAAATTCAGCTGAATCCGAAATAACATCCGTAGCAAGTTTATCAAATCAAAGTAGTAATATGGCTACACAGGAAATAATTGTTACAAGTAATGGTGTTAGTAGCGGTGGTGATGGTGGCCATGATTGGATGCCTAAACCTGAAGCATAAGTGTTAATCTTTTTTAAAAGAAAAAAAAATTAAAATTTTGAAAATAAAAATTTTAAATGAAAAAAATTTCGTTTTCGTTTTCGTTTTTTTGGTATACCGATACTGCCATCTAACAATGAAAATCGGTAATTTAGTTACCGAAGAAAAAAAAACACAGCTGATTTATCCGCGTGGTGTAAAATTTTTTTCTTGAATCCATATATTAATTATTATCATCATAATGGATTGGGAAGAAGAAGAAGTTTATTTTAATTTTAACTATACAGCTGTGTTTGCTTAGAATTATTATAGAAATGGCTAAAAAACCAAGGATCGGAATAATTGGTGCTGGAATTGCCGGAATATATGCAGCTCGAACACTTTACCGTAATGGTTTGAATGATGTAATTATTTTCGAAGCTTCTGATCGAATTGGTGGTAGAATCTGGTCGATTAAACAAGGTAAATGAAGAGGTTCAAGGTAAAATGAAAAATAATGATGATTGTTTGATTTTTGTTTTTCTTCACTATTTCTCAAAGATAATGATGAATGGATCGAATTCGGTGCACAATGGATTCATGGTCAACAAGATAATATTCTATATGAATATGCATCAACAAGAAATTTGATTGCCGATCCAAAATATGATTATGGTATTGAAGGTAATGGTTATTATTGTAATGAAAATGGTGAAACTATTGATGATGATGAATGTCCATTGGTAAAAAAATTGATCAACTATCTGGATGAATCAAAAAATCGAATGAATAATGCAATCGAATGTGATCAAAATGTTTTCGATTATTTTGTCGAACAATTTAATCAATTTATTCAATCATCCAATGATATTATTATCGATGAAAGAATATTGAAAATACTAAAGAATATTTTTCGTTGGTTTATTATTTATGAAGTTATTGATAATTCTTGTGAAAATTTACAAACATTATCCGCACTTTCCTATACTGAATGGGAAAATTGTCTAGGTGATACGGATTTAATTCATTTTCAAAAGAATTATAGCAGTATTTTTGATGAATTTGAAAAAGATTTTCCCTTAACCGATTGCGTATGGCTTCAAAGTCAAGTAAAAAAAATTGAATTCATCCATCGAAATGATTTACACGATACACAGGTAAAATTATATGTTTATTTTGATAATAATGAAATTGAAAACAAAGAAATGATTTTCGATCATGTAATAATAACATCATCGATTGGTTTTCTAAAGGAAAATCTAAAAAATGATTTTTTTAGTTTTGATTTTCCGAAAGAAAAACGTCAAATAATCAATGCAATTGGTTTCGGTACAATCAATAAAATATTCCTGGAATTTGATCAACCATTCTGGAATGATCAAGTTAAAGGTTTTCAAATTGTTTGGCAAAATATTCAAGATGATCATTCATTTCCGGATATCGACAATCAATCAATAGTTTGTCAATCAGAAACAGAAAAATTTCCCAAATGGGTGTATTGTATACAAGGTTTTGATATTGTACGTAATCAACCAAAAATGTTAATGGCATGGATTGGTTCATATGGTGCTCGACAAATGGAACATTATTCGGATGAAGAAATAAGTAAAATTTTAACGAAAATATTACAAAAAATTGTACCAAAACATTGTTTAATCAGAACGATTGATAAACCTCGTAATATATATTGTAGTCGTTGGTTTAGTAATCCATTTTTTCGTGGTTCATATAGTAATCGTACGATAAAATATCAAAAAATCAATAACAATGATGATGATGGTGGTGGATATAATATCGATATACTTGTCAAACCGATATACGATAATAATAACGATGAAAAAAAACCATTATTATTATTTGCAGGTGAAGCAACCGACCGAAAATATTATTCAACAACACATGGTGCAATGAAATCTGGTGAACGTGAAGCATTACGTTTGATTTGTTTTTATAATCAAAAATGAAAGAAAGAAAAAAATGATGATGATAATTTTTGTTTATTACTAGCATTTATTATTATAAACAATAAATAAATGATTTTTGTTTTTGTTTTTGTTTGTTCACACAGAATATAAGAAAAGAAAATAGAAAAAAAAGGATAATTAGAAAATATATTCGCTTAATTCGTTATAATAATAAAATTTGTTTATCTATTTATCGACGGTGATGGGAGAAGTTTCCCTGAGAAGCCATTCAAGTGCTCGAATTTGACCTTGTTTTTCAAGTTCTTTGCCAACAATATCACGACATTGTTGATGATAATCATTTATCCATTTGATCTGAAACATATATATTTAGATAAAAAACAACAACAAAAAGTTAAATTTTTTTTAAAATCATATATGGGAAAATACCTCATCCAAAGTGAGTAAATTGATATCCAAAAGTTTTGTCTGAATAGGTACCAATGTGATTGTTTCGAAACCAAGATAACCACGTTCATTGAAATTATACTAGAAAATTAACAATCGAATCAACAATGATTTTCAACAACAACAAAAAAAAATCATCAATTTTTTTTATACCTTAAGATTATCTTTTTTTGTAACAACTAAACTTTCAATACGAATACCAAATTGATTTGGTTCATAAAAACCAGGTTCATTCGATAAAATCATATGTTCATCAAGACCAGGATCATCCATATTGATTCGATTTGAAATACCAATAGGCGGTTCGTGTACATTTAAAAACATTCCAACACCATGTCCAGTACCATGATTATAATCAAGTCCAACATCCCATAATGAACGTCTAGCATATGCATCTAAAAATTGACCTTTTGTTAATCGTGGAAAACGACATTGTGCTAATGATATATGTCCTTTCAATACACGAGTAAAACATTCTTTTTCATAAGCCGATGGTTGACCAAGATGAATAGTACGTGTTACATCGGTAGTACCATCACGAAATTGTGCACCACAATCCAATAAAAACATTTCATTCATTGTAATTGGACGATTAGTTTCTTCTGTACTTTTATAATGAATAATAGCACTGTTTGGTCCAGATCCGGCAATAGTTTCAAAACTTGGTCCAACATAATCTTTTTGTTTCCTGTTTGATGTTTTTTTTTGTCAGATTTAATAAGAAAAGGATTATTATTATTATTATCATTTTGTTCAATGCTAACTAGGATTAATCAATCAAAAAACAAAATAGATCGGTTATTTAATTTACCTTCTTAATTCTTCTAGTTTAATATCAACATTTAATTCATCAACAACAGCGGTTGTGGAAAGCTGACAAGATTTTTTTGTTGTTGATGATGAGGAGGATGATGTAGATGACGAAGATGACGACGACGATGATGTTTGAGAGTTGGGCGACAAAGGATCTGTAATTTCAATATCATTTTTCGAATCATTCGATGTTTGCTTTTTCGTATTATTATTGTTACCACCATTGCTGTTGTTGTTGTTGTTGTTTTTGACTTCATCTTCGATCCAAGCAAAAAGTTCACAAAGTGCTACAGCATCTTTGATCTAAATTCCAAAAAACAAAAAATGTGATAAAAAAACAAACAAACAAAATTTGAAAATCTCATTGATATTGAATATATATCATACATAATCGATTCTAATCAACAAGAAATCATTATCTCATGGAAACAAAACAGACAGAAAAAAAATCAATGTTTATCATCTAATCAATGACCTTTGTCCAGTCTATCAATGGTACAGAAAGAAAAAATAAACATCTAATCCATTTTCAAAACAACCCAGCCATTCAAACCAAACTGGACATTAAAATAGATTAAATTTTTAGTTCAGTTTATTTTCTTATCAAAATTAGACCAATCTGAAATTCAATTTTAAGTGAAAAAAAGATGAAGGAAAAAAAATTCATTACTAAAACTGAATAAGATAATCATCTCTATCCATTCATTCATTTATTCAACAACAAAATCAAAAATTAAAAAATAAAAACGAAAAATTATCATGTGATTTGGCCTTAATTTCTTTCAAATGTTTCAAAGGAATGGGCAAATAATAAAGATACATAAAAAAAAAGAACAGGAGTAATTTTGCGCGAGCAAAAAAAAACTATTATAACGATGGCATGTGGATAGGTAATATATATCCATTGCTTGCTTTCCATTCCATTCCCATAAACATCAAATCATCGAATTTGAATCAATGTTTTTTCTTTTTCATTTCTCGTTTTTGTTGTAACGACAAGAGATACAAAAATATACAACAATTTATCGAAGATGGAGATTAATTTTTTCGTTTCTCCTTTCCTGCTTTTCTTTTCCCTCTATCATCATCATCATCATCATCGTCGTCGTCGTCGTTTTTTTACCACTATATTATGCTTATTGCTGATTTGTTAAAAAATATTTTAAACGGTTAGGCAGGCAAATCAGTATTTTTTTTTGGCCATTTATATTAAAAGCATCATGTTGTCTGGCTACTGTTTGTATTTGTATATGATTGTCTGAAAGGTATGCATATATTCATGATGATGATAATAATGATGATCTTAGATTATATTGGAAAATTTTTTTTTAAAGGATAAAAATTATTATCAAAAAAAACGAAGGGCATCCATAAAGAAATTAGAGTAGAATATTATCGATGGAATGTATCTTTTCTTTTTGTTGGTTATTCAAAAGATTACATGATTAACAAAAAAAAAGAAAATAAATGTAACATTTATCAACAAAAAAAATGTATTTTAACACTTTTATTACTCTTTAAATGTCACAATTTTTTTTCTGTTTCTGTTCTCCTAAAGAAGATTAAATATGTAGAATCTGCTGTTGAACAAAATCAATCGATCACATGATTGCAAAAAAATTGCATCGAATTGAATTATTATCAACATCGTGAAACTGTGTTCATCATTTTCGTTTCCAAAACACATCAGATATTATCACCCAATCTATTTGAGGTACAACTCTCTTACCACACACACACACACACACACACACAAATCTAACATAAACTTTAAATAAATATTTTTTTCTTCTTCTTCTTCTTGTTTTTTTTTCTTCAATATCTGTCTGTCAGCTACACAAATTCAACAACAACAACAACGCGAAACATTTTTTTTCTCTGATCCGCTATATGGTATGATTCAAATTGATAAATTTAAAAAAAAAATAAAAAAATTCAAATTGGGTTAACAAGTGTATGTTGTAGGGAGAAATGTTCATCTTGGACGACGATCTTCTTCTTCTTCTTCGTTTTTTATGAATAATAATTATAAAAAAAAAATCAAGAAAAGAAGCGAGAAAATTTTAGTTTAACTATAAAGGAGACAACAACAAAAACAAAAACTCTTACAATAGAGAAAGAAAGATGATGATGATAATGTTGATTAGAAATGAAATGAAATGAAAAAAATTATCGACTCGTTTGTAATCAAGGGGATCATGATAGTTGTCTTTTCACAATCTTTTTTTTTAAATAAAAAAAAATGCATATTATGGATCATAGATATATGTCATCATCATCATCATCATGCTAAATAGGATTCACATTATGAATTTTAAATTTTTTCTTCATCATCATCATCATTTGAAGAAAAAAAAATGACCAACTAAATAAACTCTAAAAGATAACAAATCAAGATAAAACTATTAAGAGAAAATAAAAAAATTCAAGTGAAAAATGCGAATTGAATGATGAATATTTAGATCTGTTTGAATCAACCAACCAACCATTTATATAAATATATAAAAATCTGAATATGATCAAATTTGGTTTGATATCATAAATTTCAATCAATATTGCAATCTTTATTCAACAGTAACAGAGTAAGCCTTCCATATTATCATCATCATCATCATTTTTTTTTTAATTTAAAACAACCAAACACTAATGTATATGACAAATATTTAGGTGATGTGCAAACACATCAGTGAATGAGGATACATTGATCTAAAAACCTTTCTGTGTATATGCATATTTATGTGTGTGTGTGTATGTTTTAAATAGATTATGGTCAGTCTAATTGGTTGGAATTGAGAAAATCTAAAAATCTAAAATGTCAAAAAAAAGATATAAACGACATACACTGGTTGACTGACTAACACATCCAAAAAAACTGGCCAGATTGTAACTAAATGATAATTGATTATTATTATAAGGTCAAAATCCTTATTTATATATTCAGCAAAATGATGATAGGGATCATCATATTGTACAATGTTTAATAATCTTTTTTTTAGTGTTTTTTTTCCTTGCAGAAAATCAGTCACCAAGCAAACAGTGGAAAGAAAATACATTTCACAAAATTAAAATTAGAAATAAAAAAAAAAATCTGCACGAATAAATGTAAACGCAAAAGACAAAAGACAAAACAAAATAGAAAACAATAATAATACTTACATGTGCACGACGCATACCATCCAATTCAATTTGATTCTTAATTGCTTTCAAACAACAAACAGGACTAACGCCAGTCAAAATTCTTCGAGATTCCGGTATTAAATTGACTAGTGCATAGTTTGATTTATTACTAATCTGTATATATGTGTGATCGATATCAATAAATAAATAATAATCCAATATGGTGTTTGAAAGGGGTGGAAAAAAAGAAAAGAAATGAAATGAAAAAAAAAGTAAATTAAATTTTCTGATCTTAAATCATGTTCATTGTGTGTGTGTGTGTGTGTAATGCCAATAATAATGATGATTTTTCAAAACTCAATCAAATCAAATCAAATCAATCAGTTTGTGTTTGTGTGTGGCTCGATAATTAAATAACAAAAAATAATTATTCAATGATGATGATGATGATTGAGAGAGTAAATTGGAAATGAAATAAAAAATAATTTATCCAAATCAAGAGTATCATGGCGTGTTAAAAAAAACTGTGTATGTGTGTGGCCTTTTATTTCCTAATTAATAATCCTAAATTTACAAATTAAACGGACATATAATAAAAATTGTGAAAAGAGTTATGGAATAAATAAATAAATGAGAAAAGCAAACAAACAAACAAAACAAAGCGTGTTATAATTTATGGCAATATCATCATTGTTTTTTTGATTGACCATTCACAATTGATTGAATCCACCGCCATCATCATCATCATCATTATCATCGTTTTGTATTGATGATTTGAAAAGAAAAGCATCTCACGATAACAATATTGATGATGACGGGTAATCAAACGAAAATAAAACGGTCAATCAAATCGGGAAAGAAAAAACAATGGAAATAATTATAATGACAGTGTGCATGCATGCCTGTTATTTTTTGTTTTGTTTGTTTCCTATCAAATTAAATGATTCTAAACGAAAATTTTTGTTTTTTTTTTGAAATTGAAAAAATAAAATCTCAAATTACATACCCAAATTTTATCCCTTGGATTTAAACTAACAAAAGATCGAATAAATTCATTAATCGATTCATATGGATGAATTTCAATCACGAACATTGATGACATAGGATCATCGGTTGATTCATTTTCTTTTTCAATTATCATCGATTGTGGTGATTGTTGAACATTATTATTGTTTGTCGATCGAACACTTGGTGATGAACGTGTTGATGATGTTGATGTTGATGGTGATTTTAAATTGTTTTGATTATTATCATCATCATCATTAATGCCCAAATGTTTTAATGAATTTTCATTTAGTTTTGATTCATCAATAAATAAACTATATATACATAGGTAGGAGGGAGGAACGAGGAATCCAAATAATGAATTAAAACAAAACATAAGCAAAAAATAATTTCATCAACAATAACTTACTAAGCTCGATTCATTGATACGATTGCATAGGAAAAAAATACTGGATTATAATCAATATCAGATCCACGTAAATTAAATAACCATGCAATATCATCCAATGCTGTTAACACTAATAATGCAGCATCTTTTTTTAACATTTTTTCACGAATTTCAATCAATTTATCATTGAATGATTTGCCGGCAAATTTCATTTCCAATGGTATAACAGGTTCAAATGGTCTTTCAGGACGCCATGTCCAAATTTGGTCAATCAAATTAAAAGGTGTTTGTATTAATTGATTGCCACAAAGTAATAGTTCCTGTTCCAATTTTATCCATAAATCATATGACATTGTATGTGCATCAACACCTACACGTGAACCAGGTGTTAAAACTTTATTCAACCATTCACCAATAGTAGGTGTATTTGGTTGATATTGTTTCATTAATATCCAATGTTGTTTATTTAATTCACGTTCAGCTTGTAAAAAATATCTTCCATCAGTCCATAAAGCTGCTTCATTTAATGTTATAACTGCTGTACCAGCTGATCCAGTAAAATCAGTAATAAATTGACGTCTTGCATCACATGGTGCAATATATTCAGATCCATGTGAATCAGAGGTAGGTACTACTAATGCATGGAATGATGCTTCGGAATTGATAGCATTATTATCTGATGATTGAATACCTGCACTACGCATTAATGCACGTAAAACTTTTAAAATATTTGTTTTATCTCGTACGGCCATATTTAATGGTTGATCTTGTTGTTGTTGTCGTCGATAGAAATTTGTATCGAGATCAGAACGAAAATTATCTCCTATTATTTTTTTGATCATTGTAATAAAAGGGTTAGGAAACGGAAAATGAAAAAAAAGTTTTTAAACATTACATGATTTTGAAGCAAAAAAATAAAAATAAATCAAAAATGACTGAACTTTGATGAAGAACAAACAAACACAAAAAGAGTAAAGTTTATCAAAAAAAAAAATCATATCTTTCACTCTGTATTTTTAGTTAAGTTATCCTACCTAAAGAAACAAAAGGTGAGTGATCAATAGATAAATGATTTAGTTGACATTTATCAATCGATCTATCAGATTGATTTTCGTTATTATTATTATTATTATTATTGGATGCAGCTACAACAGCGGCTGCTGTTGCAGTTGCCATTGTTAGATCAAAATTTTTTAATAAATTTTGATTATATAATGTTTGTGCTAATGCGGCAGCCATTTGTGGATTGGTAGCCGCTGTAGCTGATAAAAATTTAAATGTTTCATTTAGTAATGATGGAAATGCAGCGGCAGCAAATGCTGCTGCATGTGCTTCTTGAAACGCATCTTGTAATTGTATAGTAAGAGGATCTGTTGTTTGACAAGTTATCGTATTGCTTGCCATATCATTTACTGTTGGTGTTGTATTTAGCATTGAAAATGATGATGTACTTGATGGTCGACTTGTTGGCGAATCATTTGATTTCATATTGATCATCATCGATGATGATGATGATGAAGAATGTGTATTTAATGGTGAATTTGATAAAGCTAATCGATTCAATGCATCGAATGGATTATTATTTTTTGATGCATTTTGTTGTTGTTGCTGTTGTTGTTGACTTGATGATGATGAGTATTTATTATTTCTTAATAATTTATTGTATTGATGATATGATGATTTATTCATTAATTGATGATTATGATGATGATGAGATAACAAATTTGATGCTGATGGCGGTGGTGGTGTTCGAGAATTTGTTTTCATTTTAAATGAAGATTCTAAAATATTTTGTTGATTATTAATTAGATTAAATTGATTATTTAATGATGAATATAATGTATTATTATTGTCAACATTATTCGTATTTGGTAATGAAAGATTCATGGCTTGGCTAAAATTATCATTAACAGATGATTGATTTATAAATGGAAGATTATTATTATTATTATTATTTGAAGGCAGCAATGAATGACTGGAATTATTATTATTATTATTATTGGCAAAATTACTTGATGCAAGATTCTGTAGAAAAGTTAATGCGGATGTAAAATTCTGATGATGATTGTTATTGTTTGCTGTTGCTGCAACAGAACCATATTCTAATGGTGATGATGATAATGGTGAATGTTGTTGTTGTTGATGATGCATAGGAAGTGGAGGTATTCGAGGTGATTGAGATGATGTTGATGAAGAAGTAATACTTAACGAATTGGAAATCTGACTGGATTTATTATTATTACCATGATTATTATGATTATTATTATTCGAACCATGTAAAAAAGATGAATATTGTTGTTGAATATCATTAGCCGTTTTATTTGAATAACGTTGTTGTGATGTTGTTGTTGATGTAGATGTTACATTTGAACTTAAATGATGATTATGATTATGATGATGATGATTATGATTATGATGATGGCTACCATTACGTAACATTAATGATGCTTCAGGTGGATGATTATGTTTATTATTTGATTTTTTTACCCGATTATTAACAGTAACAGCACGACCAGGACATTGTCGATCACGTGAACAACGCCAATAAACAGTACCATCTTTACCATCACGTACTTTATTATAACGATGTCCTTCATATAATAGGGCAACACCACCACGTTGTGTTGCCACATATGAACAAGCAGAACTAGATTCCATTAGATTATTGAATCGCATTGAAAAATTTGAAAAATTTAAAAAATATATCCGATAATAAAACAATAATGAATGCAAACAAACAAACAAAAAAACACACGTGTGTTGTTTACTTGTATCGATGAACAACGAAATGAAAAAAAACTTCTTGAAAATGATAATTTTGCATCATCATCATCATTAGCATCAACAAACTTGTTGAAAAAAAACAGAATGGCCGGATAATTGAAATTTAGATGAACAAGAATTTTTCGTGCGAAAAAAAACTGAACAGTTTTGTTTATATCAATACGATTCTGTCAAGTTCAAGATCTTTGTTGTTCAAAAAAAACACTTTCGAACATCACATGAACAAACTTCGTAGACAAAGAATATTCATATTAGTGTTTTTTTAACGGTGAAAACAAAAAAAATTGCGACCAAATTTTTTCCGTTCATTCACATCAAACGAAAGAAACATTAAGGGTTGTTGATTTTTCAAACCAAACACCTATTCTTCAAGTGATATATTTGTAGACAAAGATGTTGTTAATTTCTTCATATTATTATTCTTCTTCTACTTCTTCTTATAACGGAATCGATTTCATTTTTTTCAACTGGTTGTTTGCTTGTTTGTTTGTATTTTTTTCCGTTCTGCGTATTAATTCGTAGTTGGTTGGTTGGTTAAAAGAATTTTCTTGGCTTCAATTTAAGGAATTTTTATCGCGCATGTTAACAATCTTAATGTACAAGTGTCAATGTTGTTTGTGAAGAATATTCTATCGTATTACATTGTGTAATACGATTGACAATGAAAAAAAATTATCATCATCATCACCATTATTTGATAATGATTTGCTGTGATTGAACATTAAGTTAAAAGGGTTACAGAATCGATCGAATATCACATCATCACATTGTGGACAGTCATTATTATAGGAACACATTCTTTTCAGTAAACAAAAAAAAATGCCGCTAAAATCCCCTCCTGATCATCACATCAACAACATGATATTTCGATTCGAAGAAAGAGAGAGAAAAAAAAAATGATATTTTGAAGGGGAATCACAAACAAACAAACAATATTGATTTTACTTGTTAATTGAAATAAACATTTGGAAAAATTAAATTTCAAAATTTGTAGAAAACACATTGATACACACACACACAACACTTGATGATGATCATCACCACATGCAATCCAAAAAAGATTTAAGAAAATAGCCAACAACAGAAAAACTAATGCTGAGGAGAAAATTTTGTTGGCGCGCTTTGGAAATACAAAAAAACGAACGAAATAAAAAAATTGCGCGAAAAACAAAAAACAAAATCAAACATCTATAGCAATGACACATAAAACAAACAGCCAAAAGAAAATATCCAATATGTCCAAACGATTGGGTGTAAAATGATAGAATGAATGAAAACATTTAACAAAAAACAAACAAAACAAAAACACTATTTAAGTGATAAAAGAGAATATTTATTTCAATCAAATGAAGATGCACACACACATACATTACATACAGGATATACAGGAGAATAGTTTCTCTTTTCTCTCTCTCTCTATCTATCTACCTGGTGTGATTCATTCAATCTTCGATTCACAGGTGTCTTCTCAGTATAAGATCGAAGTAGTGGTTTTCTACAATTTTATGTTATGATTTTTTTTAAATATATGTGATGTGATTGTGTGTGTGTGGCTAAATCACATCAAATCAATAGTAGAAACAAACAAAAAAAATGTGACCACACAAAATCGCATCAGTTACAAATGATGATAATGATGATGAATAAATTGTTTATTTCAAAATTTTCAAATATTTTCGTTTTTTGTTTTGGCCGACAAAATTCAATGTGTGAAGGTGTTGTACTCTTCATAGACAAATATTCTGATTTGTCTGATTTGACTAATAAATTGTAGCTAATAATGATCATGATGAAAGAAGATCAAAGAAAGATTACGGAAAATAGTCTTGAAATGTCTATTTTTCTTGGATAACGACAACAAAACAAAATAGCCATATATTTATTTATTGGAGGAAAGAAGTGATATTGAAAAATCCTCATTCATTCAATCAATTAGATTCAAAATTTTGAATTTAAAAAAAAAAATTAAAGGAAATTTTTCATTTTCCATTGATCATAACCCGCAGGTATAATAAATGAATGAATGAATGATAATGATGATGATGCACAACAACGTTCAATCGCAACAAAAAGTATTAAGATATATAGATTTCAATTCAAACAAACAAACAAACAAAAATTATCATCAAAACTTTTACACCTATACTTCTATATCTATCAAAGAAAAAAACACACACAGACACATTACTTATTTGAAAAAAATAATAACCCAACCAATTTCAAGAAAGAAAGAAACATTGGAACATTACGATATTTTCTTTTCTGTCAAAAAAAAATGTTAATTAGTTGAAAAGCAATACTCATCATCATCATCATCATAATCATAATCATCATTTCCCTCTCCTATATATCCTAGACTTGAATTTAAAAAAAAAGAAAAAAAATGATGCTGTGAAGCTCACCACCACACACACGTATTTTTGGAGAGAGAGAGAGAGTGTGTGTGTGGTGGTGAAATGAAACAAAATTATCATTCGTTTTTTATATCTTTATCTATATCTAAATAACAGGTATTTGTGTGTGAAACTAACTAACTAAACTAACTAACCTGATTGATTGATTAATTTGAAACGGGAATAAAAAAAAGAAAAGAAGAATTTTCTATTTAATGAATCAATTTTCAACTAAACATATACTTTATCTATCAATCAATCAATCATTATCTATCTATTAATCTATTATTCATTCACTTTATAATAATAATGGAAATGAATAATGAATGAAATCAAAGAAGCATCAACACGCATATTTAAAAGTGAAAAAAAATTCACCTTCATAAACACATAAACACAAGACAGGGATATTTTCTTTCCACGTATTCTCAAGAGGAATATAATATTTTTTCTTGTAAACTGGTCTGCTACCTGTTTGATGATGAAATATTTGATACTAAAAAGTCTATATAGCCTATCTATCACTGTTTTTTTTTTTGGTGATTTTTTTTTAAAAAAAAGTCTGCATGTCTGCGATAATAATCTCGTTTTTTTTCTTCTTAAAAATCATGAATTGAATTCAATCGAATTGAATTGAATTGAATGAATGGTTGTAAAAGTTAGCACGTGCTTTCATAATACCATTGCGAATGAATTAATCTGATTTTACATGAGTGTGGAGTTTTGGATTTCAACTCAGGAAATTTTTTTAAAAAATGACGTTTTTTTTTCTTCAAAGTTTAGTCAAGACTAATATTGTAACATTTTTTAAAATTCTTATCTTGAATTAAAATTAAAAAAAAACAAACAAAAAATTACAGACCATAAAGAATTTTTTCAGTAGACAATTCAATCAAAAAGAAAAACTTACGTAAAATTTTTTTCAGGGTTATGGTCAGAAAATATATTAGCTAATTAGAGTGGTGAAAGTATCGTTGTCATTAATTTTGTTTTTTTTTGTGTATGTATGTACTTTATTTTGTTGGCTCATCCAACCAACAACCGTTTATCATTTGAGAAAAAGATGGAGAAATATATTTCTGTTTGATTATTTTCGATATGTCAACGTCAGTTTAATTGGTGGTGGTGGTGGTCGTAGTCTTCAAATGTGGCAAATAGGCAATAACAAGTTGTCGATTTATTTTGTTACTTTTTTTTTGTTTCATATCATTCTACTCTTTCATTTATTAATCTAATCATCACTATCATCATTGAAATATTGAAAAGATAATAATTTGGCTGGTAGAACTTGAATTGAAACAAACTAAATAAATATTCAATGAAAGAATTCAATGAAAAATTATACAGATTTTTTTGCTTGAAATTTTAAATTAATTGAATGGATTTTAATGAGTCAAGTCAAGTTAGTTAGTTAGTTTGGTAGAAGTTGGTAGAAGAAGAAACAAATTTTAGTTAAGAATTCAAAATTCAAAAGTCAATTTTTTTTCTTCTTCTGAATTGGATATACAAATTGATCATTTAAAATAGATAACAAATGAAATAAAATGAATGAATGAAAATTCTGCTTACCTTTTGATTTGATTTGATTGAAAATTCAAGAAAATCTTTAGAAAAACCTGTTGATTTTTAAAATTGGTTGAAAATCGAATGTTGATTGAAATTCGAACAGTTAAAAAAAATCGAATGAATTCTGGGCCCTGTTGCTGTTGCAGCTGTTTTGCTCTTGTTTTACGTAACAAAAACAAAAGAAAAGAATAGAAATATCCATGCGCGGGCGCGTGTTTTTTTTTTGTTGCTGAGCTTTATTCATAGAATACGTTCGAAAATTTTGATATTCGATTTTTGATTCGAAAAAATTGCTTGCTCATCATTTGGTAATGTTTTGGGATTTTTCGAGGTAAACTTTTATGTTGTTTTTTTCTATTTATTTTCCTGAAATTATTGATTTTTATCATCCATTAGGTTATAGAATTTACGGTATTCCTTTCCTTCTACGAAAAAAATTGATCAAAATAAGTAAAAAAATTTTTCGTTTCGTTCATCATTTCCGGCTATATAGCTGACATAATCCATAATGAATATTTCGAAACATTTCCTAAAACTGATTACTGATTGATCCACCTTTTTTACGATCAAATTGATACATCCTCATCATCATCATCATAAAACAAATTAATATTTTGATAATTTCTTTTCAAATCAAATCAATCAAAATGTGTGTGTGGCTTTGTGTTTATGTATACAAAATCATCATCATCATATTTCAAGTTCATGGCAGATTGATTGACGCCTTTCATTATCATTATCGCCTCAAACTAACACTTAATTTCATTCATTTAATAACATCATAACAAGAAAAAGGATGGAACAAAAAGTTATAACGAAATTTTCGAAACAAAAACAACAAAAAATGTTTTTCAGATATAAACGGTGTAATGGTTTTTTCCTTAATTATCCAACAACAACAACAACAAAAAAAGGCGTGTTTTCAACACCATCATCATGATGATTATAATAATTGTAATGTAGATCCACATTTAGTCTTCTTCTTTTA